TTCCCCTCTTCCCCGCCTGCGGAATAACGGAGGGGAAACGACGCGGGGAGGAGAGGGGCGGGGGTGGCAGGGAGGGTGATCGGAGGGGGAGAGGGAGGGCGGGCGAGGGGGAAGGGAAGAAAGGAGGGAGGGCGAGGAGGAGGGAGGCCCCTTCCCGGGCAGGATTGGTCAGAAATTGCTGCAGCGGCGGCGCGGGGCGGGCAGTCTCAGCTGCTTTACAGTGCTGGGGGGGAACCCCCCCAAACCGGTCGATACCCCCCCGTTACTCAGCTGTGCCATAGTAATATTAAGGAGACTCTGCGAAGAAGCACAGAGAAAGACATCCAAGGAATTACCTGTGGTTTATGGCAATCTGCTATTTTGTTAACATTAGATACAGTCAGAGCATGTATTGTTACCTGCAAATGCAGATTTATGCTGCCTTTCTAAAGCTATAATTAAATTGACTTTCAAACTTCAGTGCTGTCATTCAAATTTCCTGAATGTCAACATCAGTGCCTCTGAAATCTTGTGAATGGAGACATAGAAGTTTCTTTCATCCTGTACTGTATAGCTCAGAGAAATAAACAAACAATATCAATAAGTATTTTTGTAACGTCATTTGGTGTCTAAGCTGGCCTGTATTCAAGGCAATTTGAGTAGTACCATCAGTAATTTACTTTTCATAAAGTTTCTATACATTACACCAGATTTGTAAGTTACTCCTAGGTGATTGTTGTGTGATTTTCTATGTATGGTTGGAGAAAGGTACTAAAGGAACTAAATGTTTGAGTGAAGGAGTTTGAGAATAATTTATGAATAGACCAGTAAATGTTTAACCTTTGTGTAGACTGTGTCACATAATTCTTAAAATGAGTTTTACGAAGAACAGCTTACAGCTGGAAATAGCCTCAATAGCAGACAAATAATTCCATTCACTTTTGTAGGCAAATGCCCTGACATGCCTACATTTTTTGTAAATACAGTAGCCAAAAGCAAATTCTTCTCCTGAAAGGCAGAGAGGGGAATAAATACATTTTCCTCTAAGACTGTGGAAGATTGCTTAGTACAAAGGGAGTTTGGACAAGGGCTTTGTGCTGTCCACAATCAGGTCGTTACAGAGCAATCAAACATAGTCTTTATCAAGAAAAACGTGAGTAAGACTTTTTGAAGGAAAAGAACATTTAAGGACCTTTCCCATATATACTGTTGTCACTATGATAAAATGAATGAAATGTGAATGTTCTTTTTTCACTTCACTCTGTTCTACTTGTTTGTCTACATACTTGGTAAAGTTTCTGCAACAGAGCACAGCTTTTGGTTTTGCTGTTTGGGGTGTTTTTTTGTGGTGTTTTTTTTTTTTTTTACATTACCTAGCATATTATTTTCTAGCTTTTTATGGAGAAACAGAAAACAATGAAGTAACTACAGGTTGAATAACATTCTTTGGGAGAAGGTTGTCTGAGAGATTGCACTACCTACACTATAGCTAGTACTTTAAAGCATAAGGACACATTTTCTGTGGGCTTAAAGGTCAAAAGCAATTTAGATCATCTATGACATTAAAGATTTTTTCATGACCACCATAACCTGTGATGCACTGTTCTTAAATCTTGAGCCTTCCACCTTTAAGCTGAAATCTGCTTCAGAATTTTGGCTGTCTGAATAGTTAGAAAGGAAATTGGAGACAGATCCAGATTAATTAGAAATTCAGCATCTTAACTGAAAGAAAATACTTCTTATTAAGAAAACTTTCTTAAACGTCATCTGTCATATAAGTAAATAGGTGCTATACTCCAATTCTCTCTTCTAACATATATGGGACTTACATTTAACTATGATATTCAGACAAGATATGTTCATTTGTAACAAGCATACTGACACAAGGTAGAAGAACATACTGCCTTTGTACATCAGGTGCGGATACATGGTCAGGAGAAACAAGGAAGAGGAACTATATATAGTAAATGTAAGAAAATATTCCTGTCATGTTTTAGCTTGAAGAAAAAGAGGATTTGGTTTAAAGAACTCGTCAGTTTGCCTGTACTAATAAAAACATGCTAAAAACATCATGAAAATACTGTTGGTAGTATAGAAAACAGCACATTAGTCATAAACTGTTATGAAAGGAAACTGAGCTCTTTATGAATTATCTCAAAGGGGAAAAATGGCTAGAAAGGCAGAGAATAACATGGTAAATTTTGTGATTTACCACTACTGAGCACGATTAGTTTATAGCAAAGAAGACAACAGAAAAAATATACTTAAGACTAGATTTCAAACAGTTCGTATCTCATTTGAAAATAAAGTGTTAGAATACTTGTTGAATGATTTTTCAAATATCACTGGGGAAAAAACCCTCCTTCCCTAATTTCCAAGAGAAGAAAACCAGATGTACTTCCTTCTCAGGCACTTCAGTGCGAGCATTAGTCCTAAAAAGAAAACTGTTTGCTCCTCACAGCGCCTTAGCAAGGGCAAAATGAAACCTGGGAGGCCTCTGTTTCAAAACACGGGATTTTCAAATGGCCCAATCAGGGCCTTCTGCAAAGCGATCCTCTGCTTCAGACCCGAGTGATCTCTTCCCCCATACTAAATATCCACCAATAGAAGGTTATTATTCTTAATGTACTACATTAAATAAACTGAAATTATTAAACAAATGGTTTAAACCTAGTTCTAAGCCTCAATTTTCAGCTTAACTAATAATCAAGTCCATCTCGGAACAGTGAGTGATAAATACCTAACACTACTCCTTCCAAAAAAGACAGAACGGATAAAAAAAGAAAAAAAAGTCCTTTGCCTGTTTAAAGAAAAAAAAAAAACCGAACCAACAACCCAATCTCGAAAATTGTGCAATAAGCAAGTACGGTTTAAAACACGTCCCGCAAGTCTCATCTTGTTTCCAAGCAACGCTTCACCCGGGCACTCCTGCGTTACCTCCCCCTTCTGCTTGAAAAACATTTCCGATTAACACGTTGCCACAGTGACTCACTCCTCCGCCTCCCGAGGGAAGACACTGCAAAAAGCAGCACGGTTTTCCTCGCCTTACTGCTCAAGGGCCCCTTTAAAGATGAAAGAAAACACTCCCCAGCCCCCAGCCAGAGGCTCCCAGCCCCCGGCGCTGCATTCCTGACTCTCCTACGGGCGGTTGTGTTTTCTTCCGCATACCGAATTGAAAACAAATAAAATCCTGTAAAATCCGGCTAACAGAGGAAGGAATACAGTGTACCTTAAAGGGGAAGAAGAAAAAAAAAAAAAAATTAAAATAATCTGTTCTGAGAAAACACAGAAGAGAGAAGAGCCTTCATCTGCTTCCAGCAGGGCAGACTCCCCGAGGGTCCTCGCTATGAATACCGGCTTCTCGCTGATTACCTGGATTTATATTCCCCTGACACCCTCTCCCCCTTTTTATTTTTTAAACCTGCCTTTGACCACGTCAGAGACTCTGCTCGCCGCTCCGGCCCCCCGCTCCGAGAAACAGCAGGCG